CTTTTTTTTCCTTTTCAGCTGTTCATTTCGCAGATATGAAATATATCCAGATGTGCCTTGGAGCCTGGAGATGGTCTTGATGTGGCATGTTTAGTTCTCTGCTTACATTATGAAGTTTCGTGCTTAAATTGACTAGAAGCTAATATCAAAACTGTTTTTCATGCCTCCTATGGTAATTACTTCTGCAGGCATTTTTCACAGACAAACCAACTTTTGGAGAAGATGGGAATACCTCCCATTGAATGGCAACTATAAGCTGCTATGCAAACATCTCTTTCGGAATGCTACTGCCGCAAGAGTTTGCCACTAAGAAGTGATTCTTCTAGGTATGTATTAGTCATTGCTTGACCAGAACCGCTAAGAATAATTATTGTATGATATCCTCATGTATATAGTAGCTATGTCTGGTAACTTTGTTTGCGATCCACCTTTTGCCGTTTTTTTTGTTGGGTTTTTGTGTGTGTGTGTAGGGTGGGGATAAAGTAGCTAACTTCTTTCGTAATCGGCTTTCATTTAGTGCATGCTTTTGGTTGGCAACTGTTCAGCAATCTATTCGGAGAATGATGATCTTGTGTCTTTTCCTGAAAAATTATCCTGTGAAGTGGAATAACGATTTTGCAATACTTCCATGATGTATCTAATAACATGGGGAATGACTGTTGAAGATGTTTTGGAGGTAGGGTTGCTTCCATTTTTGTGAAGGTTGATCCTTAAGTTGAACAAATTATGCTTTATTGATTATGCTCTGTGTGGTTTACACTGATCTACACGAGTCATTTTCAGCATACGTTCAACACTGAGATCAAGGAAAATAGCGTGGATGTTCAGAATTTTGTTCTTAGATATAGTGATGAAATCTTTTTGAGGTTTCTGGACATACATTGATGAAAGTTTTCAAAGGTCTCTTTCTATTGTATCTGCTGCCTTATTAGGCTACTAAAATTGCTGACTAGCACGCATAATTCATTGCTGCAGGAAGCCTATCTTGGAACGTTCTTGCAGTAAATGGAAATTCGGATATGGTTTTGCTGCTTCTTCCTATTTTTCCATTCTCCTGTCAAGGTTTTTAATTTGGTTCCTGATATTTTGTTATACTATGTCGGCAGCATGTATATATACAACTGCTTTCTTGTTATCAAGACGATATACTTATAGTTGTTAAAAGGTTAACTAAATTGTGTTTTCTCATTCTATCGTATTAATTAATTTGATTTTGACTGTAATGGATCCACTTATTCTCCTTTTCAACACCTTGATCCTTGTAATTCGTAAAATCGAAAGAGCTTAAATGTACAATTTATCACTTTGAACCTTTTGTTTTTTGTTTACATTTATATTGTATCTGCATGTGCAAACAAATAGAGCAGAGCCTTTAAGAGCACGCAGCCGGCTCAATGGCATATGGTACAACATGCTTGAGTGCCTTTTACCTTTTTTGCTGTTAATATGTTGACGTCTTCATTTTCTCGCTTAAAAAAAGTATTACTTTATTTGCACACAATGTTTACTAATTTACCTTGGTTAAGCAATAAATTACACTGAGAATGAGTATAATTACCCAAGGTTTGGTGATAATAATGTGTAAAGACATGTATCATATTGGATTGATTTAAACATTAGGTGCAGATAAATATTTATTACTAATTTTTTTCTCTTTTGGGTAAGCGTTTTGAAATTTCTTTAAACATTTGCATCAAGGTGCTAGAGTACTCCAAAGGCTTAAATATAGTCAATTAAGGTAGTAAAACTCTTGCATAGCAAACAACATAGAACTCAGGAACCCTAGATATAGTCAAGATTTGAACAACAATAGCTAGACTCGTTGTATGATTGAACTAAATTTTTTAAAAGGTGTTTCTAGTGTGACTTTCGGGGCATAGTAAAAATGCAACTGGGTCGTACGCTTAGGTGTTGGGTGAGCTTTTGTCTTGGGGTGTAGCTAGCTAGATTGGTGACTCACCACCCAACATGTCACGACGTAAAATCCCAATTACTGGGCCGTGATGACACCTAACATATGCTTGCTAACAAACCAATATTAGCATAATAATTAAGCAGCTTAACAATTTAAAAACACAATAATAAGAAATTAAGATTGAAATATCCTGAAATGCGTAATAAATCCGAAACTCTCGTCGTCTAAGATTATTCCCAGAAATTGGTGTCGCAAGTACATGAGCAACTAGAATACTACATATAAGGTTTGAACTAAAATACAAAACTGTCTGATGCAAAGTAAACAACAATAAAGATAGGAAAGGGACTTCAGGGTCTACAAACGCCGTGCAACACTACCTCAAATCTTCTCGAAGGAAGAGTCTGAGGATCACCACTGAACGCCGCTGGGACCAATACTGGGATCTGCACAAGAAGTGCATATGTATAGTATGAGTACAACCGAAATCATGTATTTCGTAAGTACCGAGCCTAATCTCGACGTGCTAATGACAGACTATGATAAGATACTCACTAAAAACTTGTACGAGTAATAAGTAGGAAAACAATAACAAAATAGGGAAAAGAATACCAACACGATTGACAGAACAACAAATAAATGACAGAAGGCCCCAAAATATCATCTCAACCACAATCTCACACAATAACACGATAGCGGGATAAAACAACCAAGAATGACCATGATTCATTATTTCCGTTACGGCGCGCAGCCCGATCCCCCCCTCCCACACACACAGGTTCAGGTTTTAACAAATATACAGATACATAAACATAAATTTTTACAGGATAACATAAATATGAAAATCTTGACCAAAATAAAATAATCTCAAAAAAAAATAATCTGACCAAACAAAGTCTAAAAAATAAATGCCTACTAATTTATTCTAGGATTACTACGTCTAAATTCAGTAATATATATTCTAGGATGCCTACTATATATATAAACCTATTAAGACGAATCTCACAACGCAACATAAAAAAGGAACTAAACCCTAAACCCTAATACACATAAATCCTCTAAAACAATCCAATATAACATACTAGAATGAAATAGAAGGAAGTAAAGACGAATAAGCAAGTAAAAGCATGAGACATGTAAAAACAACTATCTAATAACATGTAAGAACATATAACAAGTAAATGCAAATAATAAATAAAGGCATGGTTAAGTGGGAGCATGTAACAATTAAAGACATGTAATAAGTGAAGGCATATATTTAACAAGTAAGAACATGTGACAAGTAAAGCACATAACAAGTAAAAATATAAAATTAATGAAGACATGGTATAATTGAAGACATGTAATTAAGAAGTACACCCCGCATGCTTGAACCCATGATAACGTATATACACCGGTCACCTTACATATATGACATCCCCACACATAAATCACGCAACACATAGACCAATCAAGTCCTAATTCTCTCAAATCAAGGTTAACTACGATGCTTACCTCTTTCCGGAACACAATCAACAACCCAACACAACTTTTCCTTTGGAACAAACTTCCAAACTACCTGAATCTAGTCAATTGTTGTTCAAACAAGTCAAAACAAGCTTTAGAAACTAATCCCATACGATAAAGGTTCAATCTTTAACATAATTAAAAATGTTAACAAAAAGTCAACCCGAGCCACGTGGTCGAAATATGAAATTAAGATCAAATTCCGATTCATTCACCTCCGAACCTGGATATGTAATTTATTTCGAAACTCGACCACAATTTGAGGTCTAAATTTTAATTTTATTAAATTCCTAAATTCTACAAACCCCCCCCCCCCCCAAATTTTTACCCTAAAAATCTTAGATTTGATGATACAATTCATGAAAAAGTAATGAAAATTAAAAAAAATAAGTTAAAGTTACTAACCTATGATGTTGGGAAAAAATTTCTTTCCAAAAACTGCCTCCATGAAATCTACGTTTCAACAATGGTGTAAAATGAGTAAGTCTCGAAATCTCGAACTTTTACCAGTTGTAGATATCGCAATTGCGAACTCTTGATCGTATATGCGATGTTCGCAAACACGAACCACTGTTTGCAAAAGCAAACAATGTCTGAGCTCATAGATGTCGCAAATGCGACAACACCTTCGCTATTGCGAAGGTCCCTTGCCTCGCAAAAGCTAACCAAGTTTCGCATCTGCGAAGCTCTTCCTACTGCCCAATGTCGCACATGCGACACATTAGTCGCAAATGCGTGAACCCCACCTTCACAAAAGCAACTCTGTCATTACAAAAGTGAAGTTCCCAGTCCCAGTCCCACACTGCAAATGCGAGCCTGACTTCGCAAAAGCGAAGCTCGCATTTGTGAACAGGTCATCGCAAATGCGAGACCTACAGACCATGCACACCACAATTTCTCAGCAAAGCCAAAACTATCCGCGATGCATCCGAAACTTTCCCAAGCCCCTCAGTCTCTTATCCAAACATCCACTCAAGTGTAATAACATCATTCAAACTAGCTCGCTAGATCAAATAATCAAAACAACATCAAAATTCAAGAATCGATTATTAAAACTCAAGATTTTCAAGTTCAAAACTCCCTTTTCCAACATTTTACATAATGCACCGATATGACCTCGGATCGACCGGGACCCCAACCAAATATGCGTACAAGTCCAAAATCATCATACGAATCTACCAAAATTATCAAAACAGGCTGTTTACCAAATACATTAACCGTGGTCAACTCTAGTAATTTTTTAAAGTCAAAAACCATATTTTTTTCCTTCAAAATTCACATTTTTCGGAAATCGACACGGACCACACATGTGAGTCATAAATTGTCATATTGAGCTATGGAATTCTCAAAACATAGAAAAGGGAGCTAGTACTCAAAATGACCTATCAGGTCGTTACATTCTCCATCTCTAAAAGAAACGTTGGTCCTCGAATGAATATAGAAATATACCTGGACTAGTAAAAAGATATGGGTATCTACTCCTCATATAGGAATTGGAGTCCCATGTAGCCTCCTCAATCGGCTGACCTCTCCAATGCACTTTCATAGAAGGAATATCTTTGGATCTCAATTTCCGAACCTGCCAATATAGAATAACTACCAGCTCTTCCTCAAAGGTTAGATTCTCATCAAGCTGCACCTTGCTGAAGTCCAAAACATGTGACCTATCTTAATGGTACTTACAGAGCATGGAAACGTGAAATGTCGGATGTACCCCCGCTAGGCTAGGAGGCAATGCAAGCCTATAAGTAACCTCCCCAACTCTCTCCAAGATCTCAAATAGGCCAATAAACCTCGGGCTTAACTTGCCCTTCTTTCCAAATCGCATCACGCCCTTCATAGGCGAAACTCAGAGAGAACCTTCTCATTTTCCATGTAAGCCACATCTCGGACCTTTCGGTCTGCATAACTCTTTTGCCTGGACTGAGCTGTACGAAGCTGCTCCTGAATCACTTCACCTTTTTCAAAGAATCATGAGCCAAGTATGTGCCCAATAATCGAGCCTCACCGAGCTCAAACTAACCATTTGGAGAACGATATCGCCTCTCATATAAGGCCTCGTATAAAGCCATTTGGATACTCGACTTGTTGTTGTTGTTGTATGAAAACTCTGCTGCATACAGAAACTGGTCCCACTGACCCCTAAATTCCATAGAGCATGCTGTCAATATGCCTTTAGAATCTAAATGGTCCGCTCGGACTGCCCGTCCATCTGAGGATGAAATGCAATACTCAGCTCGACCAACGTGCCCAACTCACGCTGCACAGCTCTCCAAAAATGTGAAGTGATCTACATGCCCCAATATGAAATGATAGAAATGGGCTCACCGTCCAGGCGAATAATCTCCCGAATGTAAATCTGAGCCAACTGCTTTGAATAATACGATGTCATCACCGGAATGAAGTGTGCAGACTTAGTCAACCATTCCACAATGTCCCAAACATCATCATACTTCCTTAAGGTCCGTGATACGCCTACCACAAAGTCCATAGTGATGTGCTCCTATTTTTACTCCAGTATCACCAATTTCTGTGTCAACCCACCTGGTTTCTTAGGTTCACACTTCACCTGTTGACAATTCAAACACCGAGAGACATGTCCAATATTATATTTCTTCATATTCCCCACCAATAATGTTGCTTCAAGTCACATTAAATATTCGTGACACCTGGGTGAATGGAATACCGTGAACTTTGAGCCTCCTCAACGATAAACTTTCTTAACCCATCAACGTTCGGAACACAAACCCGACCTTGAATCCACATAACACCATTATCCCCAATGACCACCTTCTTAGCACCACCCTGCTGGATTGTCTCTTTCAATGCCAATAAGTGAGGATCATCAAACTGGCGAGCCTCGATGCGCTCCAACACAAGCAAGAATCCTACCAGGCTCCGAAATGTCCAACCTCATGAACCGGTTAACCAAAGCCTGAACATCCATGGCTAATTGCCTCTCCATAAATGGTAAAAATGCCAAATTACCCATGCTCTTCGCCTTCCTACTCAAGGCATCAGATACCATATTGGCCTTCCCCAGATGATATAATATGGTGATATCATAGTCTTTCAATAACTCTAACCATATCTGCTGCCTTAAATTAAGAACATTCTGCTTGAATAGATGCTGGAGACTCCATGGTATAGACATCACATGGCACACTGTAGAGATAGTGCCTCTAAATCTTGAGCGTGTGAACAATGGCTGCTAATTCCAAATCATACATAGGGTAATTCTTCTCATGGACCTTCAACTGACGATACATGTAGGCAATCACCCTACCATCCCTCATCAATACAACACTAATTCCAATATGTGATGCATCTACACAATGTAAGATCCCGAACCTGTGGGCAACACCAATACTGGGGCTGTAGTCAAGGCAGTCTTGAGCTTCTGAAAGCTCTCTTCACACTCATCAGACCATCTGAAAAGAGCACCCTTCTAGGTCAACTTGGTCAATAGGGCTGAGATAGATGAAACCCCTTCCACAAACCGACAATAGTAGCCCACCAAACCCAAGAAGCTCTGAATCTCTGTAGCTAAATTAGGTCTAGGCCAATGCTGAACTGCCTCTATCTTCTTAGGATCTACCTCGATACCCTCAGAAGACACAACATGACCCCTAAAAGGCAACTGAGTCTAACAAGAACTCACACTTCAAAAACATAACATAAAGCTGACGATCCTTCAAAGTCTGAAGTACAATCCATAGATGCTACTCATGCTTGTCCCTACTATGGGAGTAAACTAGAATATCATCAATAAAGACGATCACGAAGGAATACAAGTAAGGCTTGAACACTCGGTTCTTCAAATGACATCATTAAGAATTCGTAATGACCATATTGAGTCCTAAAAACCGTCTTAGGGATGTTTGATGCCCTAATCCTTACCTGATGATAGCCAGATCTCAAATCAATTTTGGAAAACACCTTAGCGTCCTGAAGCTGGTCAAATAAATACATCAATCCTGGGCAATGAATACTTGTTCTTGATAATGACCTTGTTCAACTGCCAATAATCAATGTACATCCTCATAGACCCGTCCTTATTTTTAACAAATAACACCAGTAGCCTAAGGTGAAAAATAGGTATAATGAATCCCTCCCTTGTCAAGCAAATCCTGCAACCGATCTTTCAATTCTTTCAACTCAATTAGAGCCATACGGTATGGTGAAATAGAGATAGACTGAGTGCCCGAAACCAAATCAATGCAAAAGTCAATATCCCTGTTGGGAGGCATACCCGATAAATCTGTAGGAAACATCTCCAGAAACTCCTTCACAACTGATACTGAATCTATAGAAGGAACCTTTACGCGAGAATCCCGTACATAAGCAAAATACGCCAAATACCCCTTCTCGACCATACACCGAGCCTTCAAATATAAAATCACTCTGCTAGTGGAGTGACTGAGAGTCCCTCCATCTAATCTAGGCAACCTCGACATGGCTAAAGTCACAATTTTAGCATGACAATCCAGGATAACATGATACGGGGACAACTAGGAGTGGCAAATGGGCGGGTCGGGTCGGATATGGTTCGGGTCGAAAATGGGTAATGAAAAAATGGATCAATTATCCCACCCGACCCATATTTAATACGGATAAAAAATGGGTTAACCGGCGGATAATATTAGTTACCCATATTATCCATGGCTTCTTGTATATGATTACTTTTGGGAGAATTCTTAGTCTCCCTAACTTGAGGAACCCCCAATTTGAGGCTTTACAAATATAAAAGTTAGACTCATTGATTATCCATTGATTACTCATTGGTTATCCATTTTCTAAATGGATAATATGGTTCTTATCCATATTTGACCCGTTTTTAAAAAGTTCATTATCCAACCCATTTTTTAGTAGATAATATGGGTGGTTAACTATTTTTTTAACCATTTTGCCACCCCTAGGGACAACCAATCCATACCAAGAATGACCTAAAAATCAACCATATTCAGCAACAGAAGATCAATTAAAATATAAAACCATTAATAGCGACAATGCAAGATCGGTATACATGATCAACTACTATAGAATCTTTAATTGGTGTAGACATAGAAATAGAAACATCAAGAGAATCACGAGGCATACTCAAATGTGAAGCAAAATATGAAGACACATAAGAATATGTAGAACACGGATCAAACAACACGGAAGTATATCTATAACAAACTGAGATAATACCAGTAATAATTGCATCAGACAACTCCGCCTTGGGTCTAGTCAGAAATGCATAACATCGGGGCTGAGCCCCACCGACCTGTCCTCCACCCCTAGGACGAACTCTAACTAGCTGGCCTCCACCTCTAACTGATTGGCCTCCACCTCGGGTTACCTAACCCCCGCCTCTAGCTAGCAGAGCGGTTGGTAAAGTAACTGGTTCCAGAATCATGGCACGGGTACCCTGCTGTGACATGTTGCCCTGAAACCTTGGACAATACTTCCTGAGATGACCTGCACACTCAAAACATCCTCTCAGCTGATGTGGTTGCTAAATCTGAGACCGACCCTGACGACTCGATCAATTATTGTAATAGCTCTGAATCGGCGGTGCACTAATGAGAGCTAAAGGTGAAATAAATGCTAGCTGCTCGGAATAAGGTCCATAAGTACTACGACTGCCAGAAGTACCATGTGTGACCTGCTGGGCTAACTGAACCGACCTAATAGGATGGCCTCTACCAAAGGAACCTCTGACTCTAGACGAGACACCACTGAATCCTCCAAAATGACGGGGCCTCTTGTTAGAGGTCGTCTTTTTTGCATGGCCTCTAATGCTCTCAATCCTCATGGTTATCTCCACTACCTGATTGAAAGAAATCTTAGACTCGGTCTCTTTGAATATCTAAAGTCTGATGCTATATTTAAGACCCTCGATGAACCTCCGCACCTTCTCCCTTTCATTTGGGATTAAGATAGCTGCATGGTGAGACAAATCCACAAATCTTGTATTATATTGAGTGACGGCCATGCTACCCTACTGTAGACGCTCCAACCGACTGCGCAACTCCTCTCTCTGAGCTAAAGGAATAAACTTCTCTAAGAACAACTGTGAGAACTGAGCCCATTTGAGAGGAGGTGTTCCCGTTGGCCTTCCCTACTCATACACCTGCCACCACCTTTGGCAGAACCATGCATTTGAAATACAGTGAAATCAACTCTGTTGGACCCCACTATCCCCATGTTGAACAAAATCTCATGGCGGTCCAAGAAGTCCTAGGGGTCCTCTAAATGTGCACCGCTAAAGTGAGGAGAATACAACTTGGTGAACCTATCCAACCTCTTCAACTCATTAGCCGACATCGCAGGTCTCATCCCGGGCTATGTAGCAACAATAGGTCAAACCACCCTAATTGGTAGCACTGCTGGGGTCTGATAATCAGGAGTCATCTGCTCTGGAGTATGAGTAGTGGGAGATTGAGCTCTTCCCTGTCCTTAGAAATGGCTAGTGCCACAAAAAACACACCGCCTTGAGCTATATTCTCCATGAGGCCAACCATGCGGACTAAGGTGTCCTGATGTACAGGGATAGCAATAAAACCCTCTTGGACCTAAGCTGGTCTTACTGACTCTATCGGAGCTGGGATCTCCTCATCCTACTCTGTCCGAGGCTCCACAATGGGTGCCGCTGCATGTGCTTTAGGCTGAGATCTACCCCTACCTCTAGCTCTGACCCCCTACCCCTACCCCTGGTAGTGGTTGCAATTTGGGATCCGACTCCTGATCCATTGCGGATGACATACACGTCCTCACTATATATGAGAGAATAAGAGAAGAAAACATTCATACTTATGATAGAACAAAGTCACACGATAGAGAAAGAAAGAAAGTGAAGTTTCCTAAAGCCTTATAGCCTCTAGAAGATAAGTACAGACGTTTGTGTACCGATCCTCAAGACTCTACTAAGCTTGCTCATGATTCATGAGACCTACGCAACCTAGAGCTCTAATACCAACTTATCACGATCCAAAATCTCAATCATGGGACCGTGATGGTGCCTAACATCTGCTTGCTAGCAAGCCAATATTAGCACAATAATTAAGAAGTTTAACAATTTAGAAACACGATAATAAGAAATTAAGACTAAAACATCCTGAATTGTGTCATAAATCTGAAACTATCGATGTCTAAGACTATTCCCAAAAACTGGTATCACAAGTACATGAGCAACTAGAATACTACAGATAAGGTCTGAAATGAAATACAAAAATGTCTGATACAAAGTAAATAGTAATAAAGATAGGAAAGGGGACTTAAGGATCTGCGAACGCCATGTAGTACTATCTCAAGTCTTCTGGAAGAAGAGTCCGAGCAATCACCATCGAACACCGCTGAGACCAACATCGGAATCTGCACTAAAAATGCAAAAGTATAGTATAAGTACAACTGACCCTATATACTTAATAAGTGCTGAGCCTAACCTCGATGAGGTAGTGATGAGGCTATGACAAGTCACTCACTAAAAACCTGTATGAATAATAAGCAGGAAAGCAATAATGAAATAGGGAAATGAATAACTACATGATAAACAAAATAAAAAATTAACGAAAAAGAGTCAAATATACCCTTATACTATTTAAAATAGTTTAAACATATCCTTTGTTTGAGTATGTGGTCAATTATATCCTTACCGTTATACTATTTGACTGATTTGCCCCTAATTTAGACGGAAGGATAGAGGTCGAAATCACGCCTGTATCCAAACACTTCCTTGATTAAGATTTGGAAAGTGAACATTAAGAAAGAAGTAAAATGGTACATCGGGAAGCGAATGGCAAACATTTACAAGGAAAAGATAAAAAAGAATAACTCACACACTATTAGTGCATTTGGGGTAAAGTTTGTAGGCTTCATGGAAACAGTGGCGTTTTTAAAGCCAATTTCAACTCCAATTTGCCTTTCATGTCCATGGGTGATTAGGAGCTAAAGTTGGGGGTTTTATGTACGCAAGCAACATATATGTAGCGCATAGAAAATTTTTAATTGCTTGATTATTTAATCCATTGGGCCGTTGCTGTTGGGAGTTTGCACCCAAAATTTGTACCCGTGATTGACAATATGGGAATCACACTTGAACTTGAAACTCATTTGGGTTTGAAATTGGAATTGTCTGCTTGAGCTACAATTTGGTTACTGTACTGATAAAATTGAAAGCGACTACTGATTTGAAAATTGAGAAAAGAAATTTTGGAGCTCTATCACTATAGCTCCTGAGATTCGAACTGGTGGAAGGAACTAGTTTGGGAGATTAATTGATTTGTGACTGAAAGTACTCAGGGTTTAACATCGATTGAAAGCATTGATTTGGAAGTGTAGAAGAAAGACAAGGATGTAAAGAAAAAAAAAGAAAGAAAAATTAAAGAGAATTTAGAGGAAAATGGGTCGGGTATGGTTCCAATTAAGGATGTGTTTGTAAAGAGAATCAGATATTCAAAATTGGGGGTGTGTTATTTATTTTTTAGGTTGTCACGTGTCTCTCCATCTAAATTAGGGGTAAATTAGTGCAATAGTATAACGGTAAGGATATAATTGACCAGATACTCAAACGAAGGGTATATTTAAATTATTTTCGATAGTACATGAATATATTTGACCCTTTTCCGAAAAATAAATGACAGAGGGCCCCAGAATATCATCCAAATCACAGTCTTACACAACAATACGGTAGCGGGATAAAACAACCAAGAATGATCATAATTCATCCTTATCGTTGCGGCACGCATCTCGATCCACATATCAATACCAATACCGTTGCAGCGTGTAACTCGATCCACATATATAATAATACTGTTATGATGTATCACCCGATCCACATATAAATAACACTGTTACGGCGTACAACTCCATTCACACACACACACATATAACAACCAACTACGACTAACATCACAACGTAACTTAAAAAGGGAACTAAAATGCATAAATCCTCTAAGATAATCCAATATAACATAGTAGAGTGAGTTGGAAGCAAGTGAAGACGAATAAGTAAACAAAAAAATGAGACAGGTAAAAACATCTATCTAATAACATATAAGAGCATATAACAAGAAAATACGGACAATAAATAAAGGCATGATTAAGTGGGAGCAAGTAACAATTGAAGACATGTAACTACGACACTTAACTCTTTTCGGAACTCAATCAACAATCAAACACGGATTTTCCTTTGGAAGAAGCCTTCAAACCACTCGAATCTAGTTAATTATTGTTCAAACAAGTCAAAACAAGATTTAGAAACTAACCTCGTACGATAAAGGTGCAATCTTTAACATAATTGAAAAAGTCAATAAGAAGTCAACCCGGGCCCACCTAATCGAAATCTGAAATTAAGGCCAAATCTCGATTACTCATTCATCCGCGAGCCCGGATATGTGATTTGTTTCAAAATTTGACATTAATTTTATAAAATCCCTAAATTCTATCTAAAAAAATTCAATTTCTACTCTTGACACCTTAGATTTGATAATAAAATTCATGAAAAAGTAATGAAAATTGAATGAAAATAAGTTAAAGTTACTAACCTATGAAGTTTGGAAGAAATTGGTTTCTAAAAACCGCCTCTATGAAGTCTAAGTTTAAAAAATGGTGTAAAATGAGCTAAGTTTCGAAATCCCCAACTTTTACTCAGCTACAGACATCGCAATTGCAATTTTTACAAAAGCGAACAATTTCTGAGCCAGCAGATGTTGCAAATGTGACAACACCTTCACAATTGCAAATGTCCCCTGCCTCAAAAAAGCGAACCAAGCTTCACATTTGCGAAGCTGCCTTCCTACATCCTAGTGTCGCAAATGCGACACATTAGTCGCAAATACGTGAACCCCACCTTCGCAAAAGTGAAGTTCCCAGTGCCAATCCCACATAAAAAATGCTAGTCTGACTTCGCAAAAGCGAAGCTCGCATTTGCGAACAGGTCATCGCAAATGCAAGACCTGCAGACCCTAAACACCATCAATTTCTCAACTAAGCCAAAACTATCTGCAACGTATCCGAAACTCACCCGAGCCCCTCGGGCTCCAATTCAAACATCTAAACAAGTGTAATAACATCATACAAACTTGCTCACTAGCTCAAATGATCAAAATAACATCAAAAGGCAAGAATCGATAATTAAAACTCAAGATTTTCAAGTTCAAAACCCATTTTTTCAATTTTTCACATAACACACTGAAATGACCTTAGATCACCCCGGGACCCCAACCAAACATGCGTACAAGTCAAAAATCATCATACGAACCTACCAGAATGTCAAAATATCAATTCGAGGTCGTTTACCAAAAATATTGACCGTGGTCAACTCTAGTCTTTTTTAAAGTCAAAAATCACATTTTATTCAAAATTCACAAATAAACTTTCCGAAAATCAATACTGACCATGCACGCAAGTCATAAATCATTAAATTGAGCTATGAAAAGTCTTGAAATACAGAAAATGGGGTTAGTACTCAAAACAACATATCTGGTAGTTACACAATACAACCCATTGGTGATCTAAGGCTACTATATATTAGCCTACACCACTGGCTGTTCCTTCCATGATAAGAACATTATGGAGAAATCTCCGCACTGCCATTATCCACCCTTCTTTATACCTCCTCAATAAAGCCTTCATATCTTCACAAACTTCATCACTGTGTAAAATCGTAAACCCTCCTACGTCCAATCGATGTGATCATATTACCCCTGTTTCCTACCTCTCCGTTGACTCTAATGGTGGGCAGTGGTGTATGCAAGATTTTTCGTAAGCGCTGTCACAATTTTAAATAGTGAGCAAATAACAATGCACTTGTAGCAACACCATATTAAAAAAAATATCATTCAAATCGTATAAATAGAACACAACTCATGTATATTACTACAACTCTTATCGATGAATTTTCATTTTTAATTAGAAATGTATTCAAACTAACCTCATTAAGAATAATATTAAATATTCTTTTCATAAAGAACCAGAAAATCACACAAAAAATTCATCATTCATTTGATTCCACAAATCATTCTTAATCAATTTTATGCCGAGAGATAAAATGAAAGGAGAAATAAAGAAGAAAAAATAGCCAAACAACTTGGAATATGATGCATTAAAAATTTTATGACATGAAGTGAAGCTGCCTAGTTTCGATCCCATGACATCTCTAAAAGAGGAAGCAGCGCTTGACCAAATGTGCCACATAGCTATTAGTGTCAAGTGGTGTCACTTTTACTATAGTTAACCAGTTTCTGTTTTTGCATTTTAATTATATATACATGCTTAGTAAAATTTTCCAGTTGGAAACAACCTCTCTTCCTTCGTAAGGTAGGGGTAAGGTCTGCGTACACATTACTCTCCCCAGACTCCACTGTGTGGGATTGTGCTGGGTTTCGTTAATTCTATAAATTGTTTTTCGAATGAAAAAAAGGAGCCAGAACGAATTTCCTAGACTCCAAGAAACTAAACTTTTCTTTATCCATGTTGTTACAAAGAACTTGGAAGCACTAGTTTTCACTTTCCAGCCACATTTCACAGTCTGGTTTAATAATCTTTTCCCTTCAAAAGTTGTTATCAACAATTCACAAGTTCTTTTCTAAAGTTTGGAATTCCTTTTGTAATTCTGAAAATAATATCTGGTAAACTTCTTCTCATTGAAAGATGGATAAGTCATATTATTTATGGACCAACAAAGACATCCACTCATGTCCAGTCTTATCTTTATTAAGGTTGTCTTTCAGCAGATAAATCCTTTCATGAAAAGTCACACAACCTTTCAAATTTCATGGAATAACATAACCTTCCCGAAGAGGTAGGGGACTAACTTGAATGTTTAGTATCAAGAAATCAGATGCAAAGTTAACTACAGCACTAACAGATTTCAAAATCAGGCAGGTCTGAGCGAAAAGGAAATATATAGATTTTTTCCTTGAGTGCAGAATAGACTAAAAAAGAACTTGTTCACATTTGACCATCTCTCTTGTGCTTTGTGCCAATCAGAGCAGGAGGTTTAGACATTACTTTTACTTGGGTGCTTCTTAATCCTTTCAAAATGGCAGCAACATATCCCTTTTGCAATTTTTATGAAAGAATCCTACAGACGATGGATTCCCCCCGTGAAACACTATACTGGACAAAGGACACATTGCTATTGGACACAAAATTCTTTATTAAGTTGACCAACCGGATGCTCTTGAGTAAATAACGCCTCTGGAAGCAAACAGTGATCTCCTATCTAGCATCCAACATTGTGATGCTTATTTCATTTACAGAACTTTCGCCTTGTGTGCTAGATGAACTGTAAGCTTTAGTAAAAAAACCTGGCTCTTTAGGTAAGGGCAATGGAATGTCACTAGACAACATCAGCAGAACTGATGCCATAGTAGGCCTATCTTCTGGACAGTGCTGCACGCACAATAGACCTACATGGAATGATCTTTGCACTTGAGACAGGTTGCTTGACTCCCTTAGATGTGCATTTATTAGTTCCAAACTCCTGCCTTCTCTGAAGAGGATCCACACCTGAACATTTGATATCATGCGGTTAGATGCTATAAGTTTTACCAACATGAGTTTTAAGATAGACAGGAAGAGTTTATACATGTCCCAAAAGATTATGGTGATGGTCTGGATGGAAGAACCCTCTATTTCTCTTCCCGCTTAAAATCTCCAGTACCAGAACTCCAAAGCTATATACATCTGATTTCACTGAAAATTTTCCTTCTGCTGCATACTCTGGAGACATGTAGCCACTGCAGGACAATATTAAACAAAAGAAAGTGAGTAGCTTTTTAGTGAAGAGGAATTTGCTCATTATTGGTCTAAAGATCTTTACTATGTTCCAACCACTCTGGTTGTCCTTGCTCCAGTCTCATTTCCTCCGAAACTTCTTGCCGTTCCAAAGTCAGATATCTTTGGGTTCATATCAATATCTAACAACACATTGCTAGGTTTAAGATCTCTGTGGATTATCCGCAATCTTGAGTCTTGATGAAGATAGAGAAGTCCTCGCACAATTCCATTAATAATATGGAAGCACTTAGGCCAATCAAGTAGTAAGCTCCGATCTCTATCTGCAGAAATCGAAAGCTTATGATTTTACTTCTTTACTAGATAATTCATGAAAGCTAAATGTGCTACAGGAATAAAAAAAAGTGAGAACCAACCAAAAAGGAACCAATCCAAACTACTGTTAGGCATGTATTCATAAATCAACATTGTTTCTTCTGCTTGAATACAGCAACCAAGAAGCTTAACAAGATTCCGATGCTGGAGTTTGGCAATGAAGATAACTTCATTCATGAACTCATCAGTCCCTTGGGTCGAGTATCTTGAAAGTCTCTTGACTGCAATTTCTGGTCCCTCTTTCAGCATACCCTAGATATCATCATGCAATTAGATGAAAGAGCTTCTCCAGAATGTTGGTTACTTAATATCACATTGTTGTTTAAGGGAATAGGAGAATTGGAGACAAATTTTCTAACCAAAACTTATGTTTTGAAGTTAAGATAGTCAATGTTCCATCATAAGATAATGTCCTGCAGTAGTTGGGCATTTTTTTGAAGGAAAAAGAAAGAATTGCCCCTAACTTTGTTACCTTATAAACAGGACCAAAACCACCCTCTCCAAGTTTGTTGTTCAATGAAAAGTTATCGGTAGCATCCAAGATGGTTGCAAAATCAAACAATGGTACATCTGGAACTTCATCTTTACTTTCATTGGTGTAGAACATTTCAGAGATCTTTCTTCCTTTTCCTGATGAAAATAAGGACTTAACTGGACGTAAACAGAAAATTCCTGAGACTAAATGAATCCAGAAATTAAAGCACATTTACTCAAGCCACATAACACAAATTTCGAAGTAGAAAAATGTCTGTACCTTCGCCAAAGCGTATCTGATCCTGATCCTGATCCTGATCCTTCTTCTTCTTCTTCTTCTTCTTCTTCTTCTTCTTTTGCTTTATGTACAAGATCAAACATAATGCCAAGAGAAGAATCGATGCTGCCAACGGCAAGCTGATCCTCAATTTCTTTACTTTCTCTACGCTGGAGTTCTCTGAGGATTCAAATAAATTCATCTGAGTTTCATAAGTAGGAAATATTTATTGTTTTTTGTTAATTTTAAATGACGTTGAAAAACCTCAGGCCTCAGCTTGCACATTTTATGATATTTATGTAGCTTTCTTTACAGCCTTACATGCACAAGTAAAGTAGCAGAGACTTGTACCTGACTGGGAAGAGTCCAACTTTATATAGATATCTTGCCCACTAGCACCAAGATCTCTGATGTCGATCAGCTCATCAAACCAAAGCAAGCAGCCTTCATTTGTCCCTGTTATGTCTGGATTTGCATATGCGGCACACGAACAGTTTCTCAAGCACAATTCCTCGCATGTACTAAGATTCACTCCTTGATTGTACCAGGAAAAACGAGTGTCTGGCAATTTGATGCCTGGATACTTCAAGAATTTAACTTTCTTTTGACAATTCAATGTTGTCTTTCTAACACAGCCACTTGACCAATTTTCCCTTGCCCATTCTGTTGGGTTTTTGGGTTCAAACTGATCCAAACAGCTGCAGATTGAAGAGTTGCCATTATTGCACAAACTATATCCGTGACACCGACTGTAAATGTCACAGTCATCTGCTGGTGCGCTACCAAAGTAATTATCCCAATTCTGTGTTTGATTATTCCATAATGAAAGCTGTAGAACCCCATCTAGTTGCATTACTACCCTTGCAAAGATAGAGCTGTCTGTGAGCTCATACATGATAGATATTTTCTCAGGATTGGATACATATGTATATTTATAACCAGGACTTGGTAGCCGAGATGGTGCACTAGCAAATCCTAGACCATTCCATGGTCCAAACCTGTGGCGTTCAATGGAACCGTTCATGATAAATGGCTGTGGGAATCCATGAGGATCGAATGTCCAAGTAAACTCACCCCTGGAAGGGTCATTTGTGCTCTTCCATGACCAGAGGGAACGACGAAAACCAGTCTTAAGATCGATTCCAACCTCCATTCCAGGCAAAGATGTGTCAGTGGGATAATCAAAACTCTGCCACAAGTAATTCACAGTTGCATCTCGAACAACAAGATTACCTGAATCAAGAAGCTGCGCTGTTGAATTTTGCGCATACCTGGTAGCATTGGAGGACCAAATGACATGGCCAGAACCATTAAGAAGAGTAAGAATTCCTTGCCTAGTAAAATTCAGCATACCATTTCTGTCATTGAGTGGACTGTCTCCATTAGCAACCCATACCACTGTCTGTATAGAAACTTTGCTGAACCATATTCCGATGTACCTTTTCCTGGATGTGCCAGGGGAGAAAAATCCCAACTCAAACTTTCCACCTGATGAAATAATGGTGTTTCCATCTGTTAAAGGCTGATCTACTGGTATGGTATCTGCAGCACCATAAAGAATCAATATGAAAAACAAGAAGAAATGAATATTTATGGCTTCCATTGCTTCTTGTGCTTCTACTTTTCAGAATTCAATTAAAATCTAATCTTTGCCTTAGCTCATGGGGTTATTAGATGACTAAATGCAATTATTTTTCCGCTGAGACCAAGTTGTTGTCAAAGTGTGCGGACTTGAAAAAATAACAAGACTTGACTGGGGACGATTCTGACTTAAAAAATATGTAAGTCTCAGTACCCGGCACCAAGAATTTTCCTTGCTGCAACGTTGTTTTTTTAAAAGAGAAAAGTTGCTGTTATAAGGAAAAATTATGCAACAATCATTCTCCTTGTTTTCTTTTTTCAGTAATTCCATTTCATATGGTGAGATATTTCTTCAACCTTTGAAAAATGGCCAGGTCATACAAAGAAAAGGTCAAATGTAATATTCTTCTCTATGTATCAATAAAAGGTCAACTCTCTTAAATGAATGATGAAAGAGAATAGTTAAAAGTGGGTGGGATCCTTAGTTGTTGGAATGCTTCTTAATATTTAGCTCCAATTTGAAATGTAACTACTTTCTCGGCACAGCGTGTATCGCAACTCAATGAATGTATTTTTTTTTCTTCAAAAAAGGCATAAATATTACTATAGCTTTTAAAAATGTATTTGAGACAAGGAAAAAAAAAAGATAATGACAAATGTACAAGTAATGAAAATGATGGTTGTTAAATCTATTTAGCTAATTCAATAAATAAAGAACTTCGGTCCGCTCCTATATTTTGTTCCACCTATAAACATCTTCTTGTGCTTTATAATTACAAAAGTAAGAATTATTTGATAATTAATAACGACACACACATACTATTAATCAAGGTGCTTGATCCGACCGTTACCTTAAAAATTATGAGAGTTGGACATGTCGTTCTAGAGTTTGTAACTTGTTCATATACTTTTTTTAAATTTTTTTTTTTTGTATATTTGCATTCCTTTACATATTTAATACTAATGATTATTTTGATATCTTTTTCTTTCACGTGAACAAATGCATGAAAATAATCATACAAAGATCATACATATATATTTTTTTAATCTTCAAAATAGACCAAGAAAATAAATTAATTAAACAAGAAACTTATGTGGATGTAATTATGGACGCTAACTAAATAAGCATATGCAAAGGAAAAACCAAAATTATACTTCCGCGGATACCAAATAATGTAAGTTACTTTCATTTAACACATAAAAAGTAGCTAATGCTCATAAATAAAATTAATTACAGACATGCACAAAAAAAGAAATACACTTGTATCTTTTTTAACCACATACAATGCCAAAATAATCCAACAAATCAATAAGCAACAACATATAGATAATATATGTGCCGAAGATAAAATAAGAAAGTCACGACAAGGCTGAATAAAAGAAAATAAATAGTGTTTCATTCATACTCACTATATGAATTGACAGTGTAGTAAAAAAAAAAATCAACGGGAATACGTAAAAAAGTCATGTGGCAGCATGAGCATGATTATGAAAATAATTAATTGCTTTTGTAAATCAGGTTGATTGTTGGAATCAAAATATTTAAATAATTTTGCCTTTCTTTTTAAAGCCAAATTAATAACCCAAGAAGTATATTATAGAATATTTATAGAATTCCTTTGTACTCCAAAATTATATTTCAACGAATCCGTACCGTATAACGATAAAAAAAATTCTTATATAAATAGATGGATAAAAATTAGAGTCGCTACTACCATGGTAATTATATGATTCTGTTGTATCAAAGACTCCAAGTAAGTATTTTTTCTAAAGAAATCTTAGATGACTTATGCTACACAAGGAAAAATGCCTTTACAGCAACTATAAATCATGTATATTTGGGCATCAACTTGTGATGGCTGATGCATGAATTAAAGTGATGAGAAAAGGAAAAGAAGATTATTCTTGGGTTAGAATGGACCACAAATAATGAAAATTTAAAATAGTGCAAGAAAATGTTGAAAGGGATACCAAATTAGCCATTACTTCTCTTCAACGTTAGTTATTGAGGTCACTTGGAAAGGTAGTAATTAAACAAAGACTACCAAAATGTTTTATCAAGAAGCATTATTGAAGATTTGCAATGCCAATGCCACCAATTAATTATTTGGAGTCAGGTAGGGAGGCCAAAAATATACTCTAGATTTCATTCCTTTTAAGTTTTACAAGAAGCGTACGAAGGGATAGTTCATGAAAGGTTAGTTACAAAAGAAGGGGTACAATATTGGGAGAAATTCAAAAATAGCCAGATTTACAACCGGTCGTTCAAAAATAGCCCAATTTTAAAAGTAATCGAAATTTAGCCACTTTTCATGTAAAGATAAATCTGAGCGAAAACACTGTTCAAAACCTGAAAAATACACTAGCATAATATGATGGAGTTCCAGCATAAGTACACTAGAACTCCAGCATAATATACTGGAGTTCCAGCAAGTATAATTGTCCAGTATAATATACTGGAGTTTGGAGCACCGGTGCTCCAGTCTCCAGTATATTATATTGGAGTCAGCAAAGTATACCGGTCCAGCATAATATGCTGGAGTTCATACACAGGTGCACCGAACTCCAGTATATTATGCTGGACCGGTCTCTGTTGCAGCAAAATAGTGGCTATTTTTCATTGACTTCGTAAACGCTGACTATTTTTGAATGACTAGTCCGAAAACTGGCTACACCGTGCTATTTTTACTACAATACTTGTAATCACCCTTTGAAAGAACACAACTTTTAAAGGAGGCACTTTATTAGATTTTTATTCTTTTATTTAAATGTTATTTAAATATTATTATTCCATACCTAAATATGTTATTTTGAAGGAAATTTTAGTAATTTAACTTTTAACTTTTGAGGTTCTCACTTTTATAATAACTAGTTTCTCGATACGTGCGTTGCACGTGAACCACTTACTTAGAGCCTATTTAGATTAGCTGATAATTGTACATAGATAAGCTTTAGATGCCTGAAATTTTTTTATGTGTTGAAATTCACTTATAATAAGTAGCTACTTGCTTGGATAGAAATATTAAAACGGGTAATACACAATTGATGTATTTAGTAAGATAATTACTTATAAGTTGTTCCTTTTATTAAAATAATTGAAATACTCTTAATATTTTTACGAAAATTATACATTTAAAAGTATATTAAGAAAAAAAAAGAATGATAAATATGGATCGGAGAGGAAGTTTTATTTGTTGAAAGGTAATTTGAGAATTTAAAAGAAATAAAAGGATAGCATAGTTTATTATTACTTTTGGCTGATATAAGGTTATAAAGACTTGGCTTATAAGCACTTTAGTTTTTTACCAAAGTGTAAATAAGTCAAAATCTGCTTATAAGACAGTTTGGCCAGCTTATAATTAAGTAAAGACGAATTCATGATTTAAACTATATAGCTTAACCTTTTAAGATTCTTCGCGTTGAGTCTATATATTAGATTTCTAAAATTGTGGGTTTAGATCTACTATTACAATTTTAAAATAAAAAATATATTCACTTACCTAAAGTGTGTAATCAAGTACTTATTTTCAAGAGTTCAAAAAGTATTTTCGATCTAGAAGGAGAAGTCAAAGTAAAATAGGTAATACAAATATGCTATCTCGCCAATCCAACATTACAATCCTCCCAAATATAAAGATAAATCTAATGATACCATTAAAATTGTGAAAAGTTATCCCCCATATTGATGTGCTCTAATCATCTAGATGCTTCTCAAATAAATTAATCATTTAATCAAAATAAAATGACCATGCATCTAATCATAATTCACCCAAAATATTTTTACAAAATTAAAATATTTAATGAGTAAATTCTTTGGATGGTCAGCCAACTTATGGGAACATCCTATCAAAGTTACTTTACTTTTTTTAGGACTACAAAACCAACTATTGCATTTTGGCTCAGAAAATAAA